CAAAGTAACAGAACCTGACGGCCGTTACAAAAGAAACGGCAGTTACAGTCATGGACCTCACAGATGCTCATACAATGGTCTTCCTTTAGCTTTTGGTCATTTGTTTGTTTTTTTTTTTTCAAGATAGGGTTTCCACTGTGTAGGCCTGGATATCCTAGAACTCTCTAGACCAGGCTGGCCTCGAACTCACAGACATACACTTGCCTCTCCTGCTTGAGTCCTCCACCTTTAACTCTCTGCCCACGTTTTTTACTTTACCTTTGTCAGCATTCTTGGAGTTTGATTGTATGTGTGGAGGATTGTTCATTTTGTTTGTTTGTTTGTTTTTTGAAACAAGATTTAACCTTGCAGCCCAGGCTAGCCTGGAACTTGAGGTAATCTTCCTGTGTGAACTACACAGGAAGATTACCTAGATTAGTAGTAGTAGATTAGATTAGATTAGATTAGATTAGTAGTTAGGACCACAGGCAGGTACTACTACTACCACCACCACCACCACACTAAGTCTAACTAATATCATTATGTGTTTATTTGTTTTGAGACATGGTCTCATTTATGTAGTCCTTGCTGGACTGGAGCTCACTATGTAAACAAACCTGGCCTTGAATACACAGAGACCTGCCTGCCTTTGCATCTGCTTCCTAAATGCTGAGATTATGGTTGTACACTGATAAACCTGGCTGGGTTTTGTTAGCCTGAGGATTAGCAAGGTGGTAGTACTTAGTATGTTTGAGACTGTGGGATTAATCCTCAAAATGCTTTGTCTGTTAAGTCCAATAGCCATGTTTCTTTAAGGATGATATCTATTAATGATTGTTTTCCTTTAAACAATCATTACAATTGGTGGGTTACAATTCGGTCCTCCACAGAAACACAATTCCTGATCTAGAACAAAGAAAGCTTGGAAGCCACGCCCCTGTGAGGTCACAGAGCAGCGGAGCCAATAGGAGCACTGGGCGGGGCCTTCCGGCCGGAGTAGCCAGCGGCGGCGGCGGGCGGAGCGCATCGGCGATGGACCCTCCAGCTCGTCCTTCTGTCTCCCGCCCAAGGACTCGAGCCCGCCCGCCGCCGCCGCCGGAGGTGCTGCCCACTGTCAGCTTCGAAGAGGAGCTGTACGAGTGCCTGGACTACTACTACCTGCGAGACTTCCCGGCCTCCGGGGCTGGGCGCAGCAAGGGCCGGACGCGGCGCGAGCAGCAGCTACGCACCAACTATCCGGTGCCCGGCGGCCACGAGCGCAAGGTGGCGCAGATACTAATCAACGGGCAGCGCAAGCGGCGCCAGCGCCAAGTGCAGCCACGGCCGCGCACACGCCTCGCCTGAGCACACGCCTCTCCTGAGCGGGTATGGGCAGCCCGAGCCCATTGGTAGGGATAGTAGAATGTATAGCACAGGCCGGCCTCGAACTCACTATGTAGTTGAGGAGTACCTTGAACTTCAGATTGTCCTGCATCCATGCATTCAGCCTCCAAGGGCTGGGATGATAAGGCACGCGCCACAGTGCCCAGTCCTTTTTTTTGTTTTTTTCTTTTTCCCTCTCTTCTCTTCCTCTTCTCCTCTTTTCCTTTCTGACACTGTCTCCTAAAATTGACCTCGAATTCATCACCTTCCAGCGTTTACCTCCAAATGCTGAAATTTCAAGCACTGTCTGTGTTATTTTTGTTTTATTGATGATGCCCGTTGTAGCCCAGGATGCCATGGTGTCTGTGGCAATCCTCAACCTCTCTAATCCTGAGATGACAAGACAGGTCTGTACTACCATGTTCACCTGTCATCTGGTTCTGAGACTTCCTAGCATTAGTCATAACTGTACTGGCTCCCCCACCCCACCCAGGGGTTTCCTGGCTGCTGGTGAAAGTTTCTACCATTTGGAAGTTTGCAATTGTGTGAGAAAGGTCTACACTGGAAATATAGGGAAATGTCTGAGGAAACACATCCTGGCTTGGTGGCTCACACTTGTAATCCACCTCCGGTGTCTGGCCTCAAGAGACTGCTGGAGTTTGAGGCCAACCAGGAACACTCTCCCAGGCACTGTCCCAAAACAAAAATGCCCCCTCCTTGTTTGCTTTCAATTGCTGTAATAAACACCGTGAACACACACCCACGCACACAAAATTCAACTTGGGCAGGAAAGGGTTCATTTCATCTTAAAGCTTACAGTCCTTCCTGAAGTCAGGGCAGGAACCCAGAGGCAGGAACTGAAGCACAGTCCACAGTGGTTCCTGTTCACTTACCTTTCTTGTACCTCCCAGGATTGTCAGCCCAGGGTGATACCGCCCACAGCCCACAGCGGGGCTGAGCTCTCCCACGCCAATCATTGAGAAAAATGCCCCCACTGACTTGTCTCCAGGCCACTCTGACAATAGAGGTATCTTCCCAGATCACTCTAGTTTGTTTCCAGTTGACAGAATCAAAAACTCAACAAACCAGCAGACAGAAACGGGGTATGACAGTGCACATTTCTATGTCTCTTTGAACTAGCAGAGTGGAAGAGGGGGGTCAGAAGTTCAAGGTCAGAGGCTGGAGACATGGCTCGGAAGTTAAGAGCACTTGCAGCTCTGGCAGAGGATCCCTGCACCTGTATTAGATGCCCCATAACCATCTCTAGCTCAAGTTCAAGGGGATCCAACACCCTATTCTGCCCTCTGAGGACACTGCATGCATATCACACACGGAGCAAACACTTATACACATAAAAATGAGAAGCACAGTACAGGATCATTGACTACATCATAGGAGGCTAGCCTGAGCTACAGGAGACAAGAAAGAGGAGGCTGAGACCACAACTCAGTTGATAGTGTTTACTTAGTAAGCATAAGACTCTGAGATCAGTCACTAGCACCGTGTAAATAGGACCCATACCTTAGTATTAGGGAGATAGAGAAGGGAGAGCCAAAAGTTCATGGTTATCCTTACCCTTAGTCACATAGTTGGAGGCCAGCCTGGGCTACTGGAGACACTGTCTTTAAAAAAAAATACACACACAGACACACACACAATGGGCTGAAGAGATGACTCAGCGGTTAAGAGCACTGATTGCTCTTCCAGAGATCCAGAGTTCAATTATCAGCAACTACATGGTGGCTCACAACCATCTGTAATAAGATCTGATGCCCTCTTCTGGTGTGTCTGAAGACAGCGACAGTGTACTCACATATCACACACACACACACACACACACACACACACACACACAAACTACTAGTGACTTTGATCTCTTTGCCTTTTACTCAGGAACCTGAGACAGGAAGAACTTGAGTCGGAGTCCAGCCTGGGCATTACTGTGAGTTTCAGAATCCCGTGGGCTAGAGTGACGCCTCATCTCCAGAGGAGAGAAAACAAATGATTTCTAGTGTCTAGTGCTCTTCCTAAGACTTGGGAGAATCATTGATTTTTGTCTCTGTCTTATTTCCTACAGGAAACCTGAAAGACCTGTTAAAAAGTATTTTCCAGCTGTAACTGCTGTCCTCCGTGTTGGTCAACTGGACTTTTTGACAGGGTTTTAAGTTTACTGCTCTAGTCTTTTTCCTCACTAATTAATTATTAAGTAAGTAGTTTCCTAGTGGGTATGCCTTTTTAGGATTTTTCAATTAAAAGAGAACAGCAAGAATGTATTTTAACTCTTCTGACTTTTTCTCCCTCCCCTCGCCCCCCGCCCCCCCCCCCCCCCCGGCCCCCGTTACTGTAGAGGTAACTGGTCTCCAGTTCACAAGTACCTGGGCTCTGACATGACAAGCTCAGGAGGTAACTGGTTTGCTAAACTGATTGCAGCAAAAAAGCCTTGAGGACCCGAGGTCGATCCTTAAAAAAGCCATGTTTTTGAAAAGTCGGGTGTAATGGCCCACGCTATAAATCCCACCCTTTGGGAGGTAAAGGCAGATTCCTGGGGCTCACTGGCTAGCCAGCATAGCCTAATTTATGTGATCCAGGTCAGTAATAAACATTGCCTTTAAAGATAGATGTGTCCTAAGGAAGCAATAGCTGTATTGATATTGACCTCTACATGTGTGCTCTCATGCACTTGAACGTGGCAGGGGAGCGTGATGGGGGAGAGGTGGCACACACATACACAACACATAATAATTTAGAGGCACACACACCACCACCACCAGTGAAACGGGGAGACCTGTGATAGGATATTGTACAAGAAAGAATTCTACCCAAATGTCATTTCTGAAAGTTTGGTTCTTATTTTGGTTTCAGGGAGGGATGAGACAGGGTCTCTCTATATAGCTGTAGCTGTCCTAAAACTTGCTATTAAATTAGGCTGGCCAAGAACTCAAGAGATCTGCCTCTGCCTCTGCCTCTGCCTCTGCCTCTGCCTCTGCCTCTGCCTCTGCCTCTGCCTCTGCCTCTGCCTCTGCCTCTGCCTCTGCCTCTGCCTCTGCCTCTGCCTCTGCCTCCTGAGTGTTGAAATTAAATGTGTGCACCACCACGCCAGACTGAAGGTTTATTTTGTTGTTGTTGTTTTTGGTTTTGTTGTTGTTGTTTTGTTTTTCAAGACAGAGTTTCTCTATGTAGCCCTGGCTGTCCTGGAGCTGGATCTGTAGACCAGCCTGGCCTCCAACTCAGAGATCCTCTTGCCTCTGCCTCCCAAGTGCTTGGAATAAAAGGTGTGCACCACCACTGCCTGGCATCGGGCTGAAGGTTTTACTATGCGTTACAATAAGATATTATGGGAACTGGAGATGTAGTTCAGTTGGTAGAGTATGTGCCTAGCGTGTATGATGCTCTGGGATTCAAGCCACAGAACCTGCGTGAATTGGACGTGTGGTAGTTGCATGTGCCTGTAGTTCCAGGACTTGGGAGTTACAGATCCAAAGATGAGAAGTGTATGGTCATTGATTGTGAGTTGAGGGCCAGGCTGGAGTTTGTGAGACCCTGTGCCAACACTAACAGTAGGCTATATTCAACAGTTACTGGGTTCTCTTCTCTTATTTCACAACAGTTCTTTGACATGGGTGCTGCTGTCCCCATCTTAAAAAAAGATATTCTAATTAATATCCAAGTTAGCTTTTAAAAAAATAAGTGTCTGTCTGTATATATGTCATGTGTATTCTGGTAACCCCAGCGGCTGGAAGAGAATGCTGGATCCCTTGGAGCTGAAATTATTACAGTTAGTTTTAAGCTGTCTGCTGTGGGTGCTCAAAACCAAGGGCAGGCCATCTGAAAGGACAGAACCTAGTATTATTAACCCCTGAGCTGTCTCTCCAGTCCTCTAGTTAGATTTAACTCTCAATTTGACACAGTCTAGAGTTAGCTGAGAAAGAAAGCCTCAGCAAGGAATCCCTAGGTAAGATTGTCTCACCAACAAAGGGAGTAGGGGTGGGGGAGTGATAACTGAGTAGAAAAAAACCCAGTCCACTATGGGCAGTACCATTCCCTGGGAAGGTGACATTGAACTGTATAAACTAGCTGAACCTGTCTTGGTGTCTTTCATGGCTTTAATCTCAACACTCTGGAGGCAGAGTCAGGAAGATTACTATGGGTTTGAGGCTAGCCTGGTCTACACACTGAGTTCCAGGCCAGCCAAGGCTACATAGTGAAACCCTCAAATGTAACAAATAGGTAGCTGAAGTGACCTAGCAAGCATCGTTCCTCTGTGGCTTCTGCATGAAGCTTCTGCTTGAGTTCTCACCCTGACTTCCCTCAGAGATGACCTGTGGCCTGTAAATGTAACCCAAATGAACCATTTCCTGTTGCTTTTTTTTTCCAGATTATTTTACAACAGAAAGGAAACTAGAACAAATACACGGTGTAAGTAACACGCAGAGATCAGCCAGAAGTAAACTGAGTGACCTGGTCCTAGCAGTTATGTAGCTGTTACACTCCTGTTGTCAGGGAAACTGTGATGATTTCATGTTCAGTTATACCTAGGATTTATCTTCAGGGTATGATAAAGAGTACGCTTAAGCCAGTCCATATTTTAACAACCTTTTCGAGTTTTGTTTTGTTTTAAGGCCACACCTCCCTATGTAGCCTCGCTGGCTTCAAACTCACAGAGACCCACTTATCTCTTAGTAAATATTGGAATTAAAGACATGCACCACCAGGCTGGGCTTAACAATATTTTTGAAAATGAAAAATTTTAACAGAGGCTCATTTTTCTCATGCTAATGGGTGAGTAGGTGATGTGGCCCTTTTCAAGAATTTTTTTTTTTCCCCGAAACAGGGATTCTGTATGTAGAACTGGCTGTCCTACAATTCACTCTGTAGACTGGGCTACCTGGAACTCAGAGATCTGCCTGCCTCTGCCTCCCAAGTGCTGGGATTAAAGGTGTGAGCCACCACTGCCTGGCTTCCTACACTTTTCATGAATTCTTTGCATGTACACCTGCCTGCCAGAAGAGGGCATCCGATCCGATCACGTGGCTCGCCACGTAGTTGAACTCAGGGCCCCTGGAAGAGCAGCCAGTACTCTTAACCACTGAGCCATCTCACCTGCTCCCACCCCCCCCCTACACACAGGGCTTATTTATTCTTATGTGTATGAGCAATGGTTCTCAACCTGTGGGTATGCTGAAACCCTATCACCGGAATCAAGGTTATAACACAGTTGGTGCAGTGCTATTTAATATGTGCTTAGTCCCTGATGTTCCATCCCCAATACCACATAACCAAAAACAAGCCGAGCATTTCATCCCAATTGTCACTACTGAATCACAGACCCTTGGGAGTCTTCATAACTGCTGTTCTCTCTTCCTGAAGTGTTCACGTCCTTAATGACAACATGGCAACCAGGCAATGGTGCTTGCCACCCACAGGTTGAGAACCATTGCTCAAACATAAAAACAAGCCTTAAAAAGGGAGTCTGGGAAGCTGGGCAGTGGTGGTGCACACCTTTAGTCCCAGCACTCGGGAGGCAGAGGCAGTTAGACATCTGTGAGTTCGAGGCTTGCCTGGTCTACATAGTGAATTCCAGGACAGCCAAGGCTGTTACACAGAGGAACCCTGTCTTGAAAAAAACAAAACTAAAGCAAGCAAGCAAAGACGTGGCTTGCTTCATCAAGGATTCTATTCAAATGGTCCAGTTGAAGAGTCCTGCCCTGGGGAGGTATGGACAGCTCAGAGGATAAAGGTGCCTGCTGCCAAACCTGATGCCCTGAGGTCAATCCCTGGAACCCTCATGACTGAAGGACTTCCACAAGAACTGTCTACACATGCATGACTCAGAGATCCACCTGCCCACAGGTGCTGGCATTAAAGGCATGCACAACCACCTCCTGGCTTACAGCTAACATTTTTAAGAGTCCTGACCTACTCACTCATTCCCTCTCTCTCTCTTTTTTTGTTTTTGTTTTTCAAGACAGCGTGCGCCACCACCGCCCGGAAAAAAAATTATTATGTATAATCTACTTTGTCTGCATATCAGAAGAGGTCATCAGATTCCAGTATAGATGATTATAAACCACCGCGTGGTTGCTGGGAATTGAACTCAGGACCGCTGGACAAACAGCCAGTGCTCTTAACCTCTGAGCCATCTCTCCAGCCGCCTGGCTCATTCTCTAAAGTCTCCACCTTGAGCGGGAGAGACGGGCTCAGTGGTTTTGAGCATTGGCTGCTTTCCCAGAGGTCCCGAGTTCAATTTCCGGGAACCACATGCTGGGTTTACAACCCTCTATAATGAGGTCTGGTGCCCCCTTCTGGTGGACAGGCATACATGCAGGCAAAACATTGTATACGTAATAAATCTTTAAAGAAAAAAAGTCGGCTAGCCGGTCAACATGGCGGCGGGCTCTTCGTCCTCCTTAGGCGGCGGCGGCGCCTGGCCAGGCTCAGAGGCTGGGGACTTCTTGGCCCGCTACCGGCAAGTGTCCAACAAGCTCAAGAAGCGGTTCTTGAGGAAGCCGAACGTGGCGGAGGCCGGAGAGCAGTTCGCACAGCTCGCCCGGGAGCTGCGGGCCCAGGAGTGCTTGCCGTATGCCGCCTGGTGCCAGCTGGCCGTGGCGCGTTGTCAGCAGGCGCTCTTCCACGGGCCCGGGGAAGCGCTGGCCCTCACAGAGGCGGCCCGACTTTTCCTGCGACAGGAGTGCGACTCGCGACAACGCTTGGGCTGCCCCGCCGCTTACGGGGAGCCTCTGCAGGCAGCCGCCAGCGCCCTCGGTGCCGCCGTGCGCCTGCATCTCGAGCTGGGCCAGCCTGCGGCCGCTGCTTCGCTGTGCCTGGAACTGGCTGCCGCCCTTCGCGCCGTGGGACAGCCGGCCGCTGCCGCAGGTCACTTTCAGCGTGCTGCCCAGCTCCACCTGCCCCTGATGCCACTGGCTGCGCTGCAGGCGCTTGGTGAGGCTGCCTCCTGCCAGCTGCTGGCGCGCGACTACACCGGCGCCCTGGGGCTCTTTACCCGCATGCAACGCCTGGCACGGGAACATGGGGGCCACCCAGTACAGCCACCCGAGCTGCCGCCGCAGCCGCCTTCCGGGCCCCAGCCACCTCTGCCGGGAGCCCAGCAGAGACCTGTCTTGGCCTCGACCTTGCCCCTCCCGCTGCCCCCGGACCACGCCCCAGGCTCTGTTGCGCCCTCATCTGGCACCCTCGGTGCCTTCGCTGACGTCCTCGTCAGGTGTGAGGTGTCCCGTGTCCTGCTGCTGCTGCTCCTGCAACCACCGCCTGCCAAGCTGCTGCCAGAGCATGCCCAGACCCTAGAGAAATACTCCTGGGAGGCTTTCGATGGCCACAGCCAGGATAGCAGCGGCCAGCTTCCTGAGGAGCTGTTTTTGTTATTGCAGTCCCTGGTCATGGCTGCCCACGAAAAGGACACTGAAGGCATCAAGAAGCTGCAGGTGGAGATGTGGCCACTGCTAACTGCTGAACAGAACCACCTTCTCCACCTCGTTCTGCAGGAAACCATCTCCCCCTCTGGACAGGGTGTCTAAATCACCTTCCTACCAACTTGTTTTATCTTTGGGGACAGGTGATGAAATATCTGGTCTAGCTTGTTTTGGGCTTGTTTTTGTTTTGTTTCATTTCTGTTGCCACTGCGGTAATTTATCTTTGTGTGCCTAGCTGGTTACTTAAATTATGGTTCCCTCCGTATTACATCAAAGGAGGTAACTTCATCCTTAAGGCTGAAGGAGTCTCCACTGAGTAATTTGCTTTCTTTATGCATTGGTCAGTTGTTGGATAATGTTGATTCATCTTCCTGGCTGTTCTAGGTATAGCGCCAATAAACTCAGGAGGAAAGACGTCCTTTGTAAAAAAAAAAAAAAAAAAGTCTCCACGTCATCGCCATGTGATTTATATCAGCATTTGTCCCCCCACCCCCACCCCGCAAAGCTGTTTTCTCTGTACTCGGAACTAAAACATCCCCTCCCGGAGGAAGGAGGGAAGTTTACAAGTCTCAGGCCAGGCAGCCCACCAAACACAAGATTCAATGGGTTCCCCCTTGAGGTTAATAATCTCCCTTACTTCCAGTGCTTGCAGCTGTTAGCCAGAAGATCAGGTGCTCAAGGTTATGCTTGTTTGAGGCCACCCTGGGCAAAGGGAACCCTATCTGGAAAAAAAAAGTCAATACTTGGGGGGCTAGAAAAACAATGTGGTTTATATCTTGGATGGAAGTGATGCCAGGACGTTGTTCAGGGAATCCTAGGGATTTAGTTTTCCTATACCACCCTTCATGTTGCAGTAGGCTTTTTATTTTATATTTGTTTTGTTTTGTTTTGTTTTGTTTTGAGATGAGTTTATCTGTGTAATAGTCCCAGCTGGCCTAGACTCACTTTGTAAACCAGGCTGACCTCGAACTCACAGAGATGCATCTGCTTCTGCCGAGTGCTGGGATTAAAGATTAAAGGCATGTACCACCACACCTGGCTACAGTGGGCTTTTTGTGTCATGGTTTGTTAGTCCCTCTTATGTCCCATTTATACTCCTCCAGGTGACTCCAGGACATCTATTAGTTCACCAAACCATGTCATTACATTCTCTATCTGGGACACACAGACTTCCTATGAAAAAAATCACACAATACCCTATCTTGAAATTTAAATTGTATAGGAATAATCTTGTTTGTTCCAAATCATCACAGCTGCCATCCAACAAAATTTTTTATGTTGAGACGGGGGCTTACCATGTAGCCTTGGCTGGCCTTGAACTTGTAGTGAACTGTATTTGCCTTTCATGCGCTAGGACTTACACGGATGCACTACAAACACACCTGACTTAAGTAAACTTCTAAAATTATCAATGGATACTAGCTCAACTGGAAACACAAATCCTGAACAAGCCAGCTCAGTCAACAGGGTCTTGAGGGGGTGAGGGGGGTTGAAGATGAAAGAAAAAAGACAATTAGACAACATTATACTATGTCCCCAGCAAGTGCTGAGATGGTTTTAATCTCCCCACCCCCACCCTCGTCTGCTTTTATATCATTCTAGGTACACGAGAAGAATAGGGTTAGTTCCAGGTCAAGGACAAAATAGCCAAGGAGCAGGCAAGGCATAAACAAACGTCCCATGGCATTCAGGGACTCATCAAGGTGATCAAGATCTTGAGCCTACTTCCTCCCCCTAGCCCGATGTCAATTTTTTTTTTTAAAAAAAAGATTTACTTCTGTATATGAGTACACTGTTGCTATCTTCAGACACACCAGAAGAGACACACCATCAGATCCCATTACAGATGGTTGTGAGCCACCATGGGGTTGCTGGGAATTGAACTCAGGACCTCTGGAAGAGCAGACAGTGCTCCTAACTGCTGAGCCATCTTTCCAGTCCCCAATGTCAAATTCTTGCCAATATTCTTGAAGCCGCATCAAGAGAGCTCTCCACAAAATCCTATGTTGAAAAAAGGAGCTAAGCCGGTAGTGACAGATGAAAGGAGTTGTCTTAGCTTTACAACTGCATCCACAGACAAGAGAAACACATATATAACTCCAAATTTAGGCCTAAAACGGTCTTGTGTGAATTTATTTTACAGAATTCATATTATTTTAAAATGTACTTAGTGTAGAAACTAAAATCTTTGCCCTGCATGCCTGATAACTAAAGTTTTGATCCCAGCTTCCGTGTAAATGCCTGATGGGAAAACTGGCCTTCCTCTTATCCACCAGTGCATGGGAGACAGTGAGGAGGGAGCAAACTGGTTAGCTTAAGTAGAGTTAGCTTAGTGAGGTTAGAGTAGTGGAATTGCCAGGTGGTGGTGGCACACGTCTTTAATCTCAGCAGTTGGGAGGCAGAGGCAGGTGGATTTCTGAGTTCGAGGCCAGCCTGGTCTACAGAGTGAGTTCCAGGACAGCCAGGACTACACAGAGAAACCCTGTCTCAAAAAAACAAACAAACAAAAAAAAGAGTAGTGGAATCAACAAGCCCTGGATTCAGGTGAGAGATCCTACCTCAGTATATAAGGTGTGGGTTGAGGAAGACACTCAACTCTGATCTCTGTTCCCCACACATGTGCACGCGTATATGCAAACACATCACATGGCAAAGAATAAACGAAAATTCCTGGAGTTGGGGACAGCACTAGGTGGCAGAGCCCCTGCCCAGCATTTGTGAGGCCCTAGGTTCAAGCTCTGGAAGTGTCAACAAAACCAATCTCGGCTTTCAACTTTGAGCTGAGCAGTGAAATGTTCCGTGTCAGCAATCCTGCCTTTTTTGGTTTTTTTTTTGTTTGTTTGTTTTTTTACGCTTATTTGTAATATGTAAGAGCCGTGGTTCTCAACCTGTGGATCTCGACCCCTTTGGGTGGTGAATGACCAATGACCTTTTTCTCACAGAAGTCACCTAAAACTATTAGAAAACACATGTTTCTGTTGGTCTTAGGAACTAAGACCCACCAGGCTCCTCTATTTGTCTCTAGATGTGTCTAGATGTGATGCTTTTCTACTCTAGCTTTCAGCCGGATCTGGTGTGGCAGGTCTTTACCTCAGCATTCTGCAGGCCGAGGCAAGTAGATCTCTGTGAGATTGAGTCCAGCCTGGTCTATGAAATAAGGCCTGGAATTACCGAGGGTTATGAGCAGCAGCCGTGTAGATGCTAAGAGTTGAACCTAGGTCCGCTGGAAGAGCAGCCAGTTCTCTTAATTGCTGAACCATCTCTCTAGGCCTAAGATTTATTTTTATTTTTAATTCATGTGTAGGTGTGTGTCTAGGCAAATGTGCGAAAGTTCCCGAGGGAGTCAGAAGAGGGCGTCGGCTCCCCCCCCCCCCCCCCCCGCCCCCCCCCGTAGAGGGCGAGGTCATCATAAGAGCATGTGCCACAATCTGCACTTGGTCTCTTCTTCGCAAGAGCAGCAAGTGCTGTTAACTGCTGGGCGGTCTCCCCAGCTCTCTCACACACGCTCTTATGAAGACAGGGCAGAGCAGAGCTGGATAAGGAGTTTGGAGTTCTTCCCTCTTGCTATTTCGATGAGGACTGATATGTTCCTTTTCCTCACTCAGGCTGTTCGCGAAAGACATCGGGAGCAGATGGCTCAGTGTGTGTGTGCTGGAGACCTCGGGGAGTACGCTGGGATTAGGAAAAGCTTTTAAATGTGAACAAGCATAGCTTAAATGCTGGCAAGAAAGAACTATTGGGTGGGGAGGGGGGTGCTTAAAGATAAAGCAGAAAGGAAGACTAGTGAGTATGGGAGAAGGCACGGAGAGAGGAGACCCCCGGGAGAGGACCTGCATCCCCTCCCACACTCACATACCAGCTGCTGGAAACAGATCTTTAATAGGTTAGGCAAGATCTTCCCGCTAAGCCACGCCCCTACCCCCTCCTGGCCTTTGGTTACGACAGAAGGGAACATTATGGTAATACATAAATTCAAGGCCAAAAAGTGCAAGAGAGAAGTCAGGTGTGGTAGCAAATACCTGTCAATCTCAGAGCTCCGGAGGCAGGAGGACCAGGTTTTCCAGGTCATCCTCAGCTGCATAGCAAGACGGGGCCAGTCAAGGCTGTCTCAAAACCAGGAACAGTTTGTGTAATTTAATCTAGCATCTTTGGGGGCAGACTTGTGGTGAACTATCACAGGATGGATGATCTGCCTGACTTACAGTGACTCTCCTCTGACATTCTACACATTCTATCTTAGGACTGTGCCCTCTCCAAGATGACATGGACATCTCCATGAGATGAATCTCTTCTTGGGCATTCTTTCTCAGTTTAGGAATGGTAGCTGCTTCTCGTAGTAGCGTAAACCAGTGGTTCTCAACCTGGGGGGTCGCAACCCTGTTATGTGCCAAATGACCCTTTTAGAGAGGTTGCAGACATATATATTCTATATATCAGATATTTCCACTATGATTCATAACAGCAGCAAAATATAGTTAGGGAATAGCAACAAAAACAATTCTGTAGGTGGGGGGGTGATCAAAACAACATGAGGAACCGTCTTAAAGGCTTGCAGCCTTAGGAAGATTGAGATCCACTGGTGTAGACGCTAGTGTTTAAAAATTAATTTGTGGGTCTGGGAATTAACCCAGGGTCTAATACATCAGTGCTCTATTTGAGGTACACCCTCAGCAAACCTTTTTATCTTCCTTTGACTCTTGAAATGCTGAGATGATAAACATATGTTACCATGTCTACTTTAAGGCTATATTTCTTTCTTTTTTCCTTTGTGTGTGTGTGTGTGTGTGTGTGTGTGTGTGTGTGTAGCCCTGGCTCTGGCCTGGAGGTCACTATATAGACAAGGCTAGCCTCCTGTCTCTGTCTCTTGAAAAGATCATATTCTTGTGTTTTTTTTTTTTTCTTTCTGGTTTTTCGAGACATGGTTTCTCTGTGTAGCCCTGGCTGTCCTGGAACTCACTCTGTAGACCAGGCTGGCCTCAAACTCAGAAATCCGCCTGCCTCTGCCTCCCAAGTGCTGGGATTAAAGGCGTGCACCACCACTGCCCGGCCATATTCTTGTTGTTAAAACAGGGTCTCAGTCTATAGTTTTGGCTGCTCTAGAACACTCTATGTAGACCAGGCTGGCCTTAAACTCACAGAGAGCCACCTGCCCCTGCCTCCAGGGCACTAGGATCCACACAGGTGCCATGATGTATGCATCATCCCCAAAAGTAAATAAGTTAAAATGTAATTTAAAAGAACTGCTATAGGGCTGGAGAGATGGCTCAGTGGTTAAGACCACTGACTGCTCTTCCTAGAGGTCTTGAGTTCAGATTTCCGCAACTACATGGTGGTTCATGACCGAGCGGCAATGTATACACAGACATAAATCTAAAAGAAGAAGAAGAAGAAGAAGAAGGAGAAGGAGAAGGAGAAGGAGAAGGAGAAGGAGAAGGAGAAGGAGAAGGAGAAGGAGAAGGAGAAGGAGAAGAAGAAGAAGAAGAGGAACTGCTATATATATCTGAGGAAGATTGGGGTTGGGGACAGCCAAGAACTGTGTGACTCATGCCCTAGTGTTTCTAGAAAGTAAGTCCAATGGAGACAGGACCAATGACATCCCTTTATGATTATGACTGTGTCCTCATTTTTGACTTCTGACCTAGCACTGGCGTTTCTGGGAGATGTGGGTTCTGCCTTTACTGTCGCTTGATATTTCCAGATTATCAGTGGTTTAAGCTTTTACTAGTAATAGTGCATACATGTGGTTCTCTTTATCCTCCTTCTCCATCTGTAAACTCAGTCAAACACCGATCAAAAATAATCCTGACTGGGGCAAGAGAGAGGGCTCGGTGGTTGAGTGCACGTCCTACTCATGCAGTGAGCCAGGGCTCAATTCTCAGCACCCACAAAACACACAGACACCCCTTGACTTCAGCTCTGGGGTAGCCAATGCCCTCTTCTGGCCTTCTTGGATGTCTGCACAGGCACACACACAAACACACACACACATGCATACACGGACACAAATAATATAGATAAGTATTTGGGAAAGA